ATATTGCTTAATATGGCGTTAAAGAACAAACAAACAATAAAGGTATACTTAGGGCTAGTCGAATCTGAAGCATTTATGGGGATATTGCTATATGTTATCACTATTAATGACCGCCTCCGTGGTCTTGTGGTATAGCGTCCGCCCGGAGAGCGGAAGGTCCGGGTTCTACCCCTGGCCGCGTCATACAAAAAGACCTTTATATAGGAGTACTTGATGTTACCCTGTCTGGCGCTCGGCATAGAGGGGCTAAAACAAGAACTGGGCACCAGAAATGGGCTTCACACATTGTACCCATGTCGGGAATCGAACCCGGGTCTTCGGCGTGACGAGCGAACGCTTTAACCACTAGGCTACCCGACCGCCCCTGATATTCATGATCGCCTAGCATCCAAAGTTTGTGCTTTTAGCTCATCTGATCTACGGCCTTTGTTACTACCGTGTTTTTTTTGAGTGAGTGATTATTGTTTAACGTCACTTTTAGCTATATTCCGGCAATATCGGGGCGGGTGACATCAGAAATGGGTTTCAAACATTGTACCCATGTGGGAAATCGAACCCGGGTCTTCGGCGTAACGAGCGAACGCTTTCACCATTAGGCTACCCCACAGCCCCTTGGTTTTTCGACCACAGAATAAGAATTTCAGCTGTTGTTTAACCTTATGGTTAATGCGTCCGCTCGCCACGTCGAACACCCTGTTTGATACCCCATATGGGTCAACTTTTCGATTAAATATATTGATGACTCGCACATACGCGGCCGCGATTTTGAACGTAGATCTTTGCCGAACTCGCGTTCATAAGAGACATTTTGATTGATTGTTGATTTCAATCTCATGTGCGAGAACTGTGTTTTGTGTTTCGTGAGTGATAGGAGTGATTGCGCAAGTCATGCACGTCACTCCCGGCAATTTATAATCGACGATGAGGATCTTGGGACTAGACAATCCAGTGATTGATAGCATGAGCATCGATCCACGCAATTTAATACGATGACATGCATCAACCAAGTCATAGAGCCTGACCATTCGATCCCTTTAGTCGCCTCTTACAAGCATAGTCGCCTTTTACAAGCAAGCATGGGTTGCTGAAGACCTATTCTGATCCGGATCTTCACGGTTGGGACTGAAACTAGCTGAAATTTACTAACTACTATCACGTGTGTACTGAACTGTGGAAATGGTGAAAATATGAACCAGGGGCCCGTTCCACAAAGCGATCTTAGTGCTATGATTATCGTAAACCTATGTTGAAGTATGGGAGTTACGATCGTCTTAGCGCTAAGATCGTTTTGTCGAACGGGGTCCAGGTCTCCTGGAACATTGTTTTGTTTGTTTGTTTGTTGTTTTACGCCGCACTGAGGAATATTCCATCTATATGAAGGCGGTCTGTAAATAATCGAGTCTGGACCAGACAATCCAGTGATTGACATCATGAACATCGATCCACGCACTTTGGATACGATGACAACCAAAAACCAAGTCAGCGAGCCTGACAACCCGATCCCGTTAGTCGCCTCTTACGACAAGCAAAGTCGCTTTTACGGCAAGCATGGGTTGCTGAAGACCTATTCTACCCCGGAATCTTCACGGGTCTTGCATGTCCTAAAAGCTGATCACCTAAGTCATTAAACCATCTCAGGAGCATTACAGCACCGCGTGGTTTATGTGTCTAATCAACCTAAAGTGGCCGAGATATCACCAATCTTATTTACATCAGAAGAGGTCAACACACGAACGTGTTGTAAGCGTTAAATTGTTTGGAAAGATAACCGGTGTCGCACACAAAAAGCGGCAAGCGCTTGACCGTTTCTCAAACCTGAGAGGTCATTCGGGTCGCCGGAACCTCGTTCGTGTCAGTCCCCAGTCACACTAACGCGGAGTTATGACGCTCAGCGAGCATATAAAATATGAAATTAGCAGTTATTTTCGTGCCTGAACAACCGTCGCATTCCGAAATCTGGGTGGTCGGCTCTGATAAAGCTTGGCATGACCAACTCGCTTTTGCGTGTTCGGGGAAGCATGCGGTGACGACGGCTAAAATTGATAGAACAACAGCATGTACGCATACATCAATCGACTGTCATTCTAACCTATTGATTTAGCCTGATGATGTCATAGTTTGACTCATAAGGCGCTCTTTGTCCGTCGTTTTCCGCGTCGCGGCAATTTCCGATCCAACCTTTCGTAAAAACCTTGAATTTCGCCATGGAAACGGAATGCTTAACAATTCAATAGCTTTATAGAAAGTGACAATAATGGATGCTTTTAGCGTTGATGAAGATGAAATTGGAAGGCGATTCATATCTGAAGAATGTGTGATCCTATTAGAAGACTAATTGCATGTGGTTATATTTGTGTTGAGTTTTCAATGAGATAACCGAATCAACAGAATATCCACGAGAAACCATTGTAATAAATATCAATAACAGCCTCCCAAATGTAGATACCAATGACCGTCGTATCACGATGATGATGATGGTGATGATGATGTGAATATAGTTTTACGCCGCTTTTAGTCATATTCCCGCAGTATCACGGCGGGGAACACCACTAGTTTGCTTTAGAAAATGTACCCATATGGGGGAATCGAACCTGGATCTTCGGCGTGGCGAGCGAACGCATTAACCACTAAGCTACCGCACTGTCCCAATTGTGAAAATGACAATAAGAATGACTTTGATGGTTATGATAATCATCTTTGATGGTCATAATAATCATCATCATAATGATTAAATGGTGATTATGAATACAATAATAGTGACGGAGATAATAATGATTATGATAACTGTGTTTCAGTCTCCAATTTAATGATGATGATTATATCTAAAGTATACTGGTGACTTCCGTTCTAAGTTTAACATTCCGAACGCAACTGAACCTCAATACAACTCACACGAAGTGACCTATGACCTAAAAACTATATATACACATGCGTGTAATTGAATTTAAACCCACTTACAGTATCACAAGCCTATTATATAGTCGTATCGTCCGCGTGACCACAGTGCAGTGGCCTGAATAAAACTCGAGCTTCCCATCTAGTGCAGGCGACTAATATGTGTACTTCCGCGATCATTTTAAGATATATAACAGTAAATAGACAAATTTTAATATTCATATTTATATACATCTTTTTCTAGAAAGGGTGTGTGTGGCTTAATATGCCGCACATCACCAAATTATATCGTTATATACGTTATAAAGATTCGCATGCAACCCCACCCCTTATAATAATAATTAACAACGACGAATTAAAATTCATTCAGAATGATAAGTATATTAGATTAAATAAGTTATTGCGGCATTTTAACAAAAAATCTGTACCTAAAAGTCAAGATTTGGAATGTTTAGAGTTCAAATGGGTGTGTTACTACAGAATAATAACGAAATATTTATTTATACAAAACATAAATATACATAAATTTAACAAATCGTCCCCAATGTTCCTTATACACACCTCGGGGAGGAAATAATTATTAACTAGGGCACGGGAATGCTAATGGCGAAGGATGATCCCATATTGAATAGCGGATTCCAGCGCTCAGGTAAACACGTGCAGCGCGCCCTCACGTGCACGCCTGGGGCAGAACGCCCTGGGAAACAGGCGCTCGATGACTGGCGATGTAATATTAATGGCGATGATTCAGGGCGTGATTGATAACAACAATGTACGGGAAGCTGGTTTGGCCCTGTCGAGTGAAACAAACACAAGTCAACCGGTCTGTCTTCAAAATCCTATTAAACGGTTAATTACAATATACATAAAATATTTTATGATATGAATTTAACATCTGTTGTACCGTTATGTTATGGAATATAGTGATAATATTGACATTATATATTGAGCATACACCCACAGTTATCATCAACCTTGTTGTATCGGACATTTCATGCGAAAACATGTTATTAAATACATTGTTCGTTTTGGGGGGCCTGTCAAATTCATCGTGGATCTGTTATGAAATACTGTTTGTCTTGTCAAATTCATCGCCCACGTGTTATGAAATATTGCAGTAGATGTGTATCATACAATTATGACATATTCATGGCATGTGAGATTACCTATCATACTTTCTCAGCTTGCTTCGCTATCGTTATGTTTAAATGTGCGTGTCAAAAAATATCCAAGGCACTTTTAGATCAGCATGATGTATACGAACCACCACGAACAATTGATTTCCTGCAAGCGAACGACAACTGCGTAATTAACACCAAGGTGGTTAATCCACTAATGGAGCAGAGTGGTAACTAATTACAATGTGCTAATTACTGTGACCCGTAAACAAAGGTCGTCATCTATCAGTCATAACAGTTATATTAACTCGTGTGTATTCCCATATTTACGATATTGCTTTGGGTATTAAAACGATTTGGTGAGCGGCCATTGGCGGTCAGTTGGAAATGTCATTAACACAATTATCCCATTACACAAAGAGCGTCGCTGTCTCATGCCACGGTTTCCTGTCCAGATACAATTGTTAACTCTTCAAGTGTTAATAAATTTCATGATATGTAAGTTTGAAGAATTACTGTTAAATCTAAGCCCCTGATTAAACCATTTTCAAGGCTGTTAAATTTAATCTGCAGAGATATACACGCATAGATGTGATTGACATAGACGTGGGGTTATTTTCACTTAATGCTGGATATGTTTAATTAACCTTTAAAAGTATGTCTGTCACAAACAAAATGTTTACTGAAGGCTTTTTTTGTGTCACGGGTTATTTATAACGATCTAGTTAAACATTGACTCAAGCGCATCTACTTGTCTTAGGCGGGGAGGTCAGAGTTACCGCTCTTTGACTGCGAGAAACACTCTTATATTTACTTTGGCATTTGCCCGCATTTGATAGCCCCTGATAAAGTAAGATAGGGTCCCTGAACCCTAGTCACGACACGGGTGGGTTGGCTGCGCTGGACCGTAGCAAGGGGGTGGAGGCATTGACATGAATATTCATGAGCTTATGACAAAGGGCCAGTTGGACAGCTTATGAGAAGAAGCCTGCGAACGGCGCTTCACCAGAAGCCGTGTGAGTGTGGTTGAGTGAGTCAGAAAACTCGGGTAATTCTGGATAATTGTCTTCAGCTGCGCTCGCAGGCAGCTCGTTGCCTTTATTCTCGATCTTCGCACAGAGGAGCCTGGTTCGCAGTCAGCCAACGCGTGCAGTGGGTGACGGTAGTTCGCGAGCTCGCCGCACAACTTTTGGAGTAAAAACTTGGTGGCGCGAGTTGGAAAGTACTTGTCGCGCAAGAAGTAACCGTTCACAGCTCAACATGGGGAATATAAGAAATCTTTACGTGACACTTCTTGTGCTTGTTGTGTGTGTGTTTTGTTATGGACAGGAGACTCACCAAAAGTTCAAAGTCAAACTTGCGGCGTTGTCAGCAACGAAGGAACCGATTCAAGCCACCGAAGAACCACGATCGGGCCTTCGGTACCACCACAACCCCCGCACGTGCGGAGAAGCCGATCTATGTTGTAATGGACAGAACAATACATGTTTTGTGTTCGGTCGCCGTCTTGATGGCAACAATAATGAATCCAGGTGCTATTGCGATTCCAACTGTCTTGTGATGGCTGACTGCTGCGTCGACTACCACGAACACTGCAAAGGTATGTGGAAACTTTATTTATCAATTGTGTTTTTTTCATTACCGTTTTTTGTATCGGCGAATCGAGTAACACGTCACATAATCACTCCATCATTCAACAGTGTATGAATTCAACGCACGCATCAAGCATACAACACATGCGACAACATGAATGATAATTTCTAAAGATTACTCCATTCACTCAATATTTGCTGTTATTAACGTGTGTAAATATGACCCAACCATATCAAGAGGTTTTCCTTCAGTGATATAGCACAAGAAACTCTCCATACACTTTTAACAATGTGCAACATAGTTGAACAGCTGAGAAAACGATTAAATATGAAGCCGTATACCACATGTTAGCAACATTAACACATTTTAGCCCCTCCTCACCCATGTAAACTAAAACAAGATCTTAGTGGTGATAACTGTGTGGGAGACCCCCAACGTGGACAGTCTTAGCAGACTAGCTCCCATCCTATAGTAACTGTTTACCATTAGTAAGCACAGCAGTCGTCAGTCTCTCTTCAAATAAGCGCTTGGAGTTAGAATAAATAAATATAGTGAACTTTCTTAACAGGCACAGCTTATGCCATGGAGCAGTTAACTCTGGAAATGCACCCTTCTAATATTCAAAGCATCCTATGCTTATATTCCTTCTTTCATTTTTGATTAAGAGTACCTCAGTTCCCAAATACTGAGGTTAGACTTTTGTTGGTTTCCTGCAAAAAAACATTCAGTATAACATTATTGCCTTGCGACACATCCCTCCACAGCTATAACCCCACCCCCCAATCTCGACCCCCCCCCCTCCCCATCTCCGTGCCTCCTACTCCCATCTCCGTGCCCCCTACTCCCATCCCCAATACTTTTCTCCAATTCCCCAATATTCCTTGACACTCATCTCTCTCGTACACTGATAATCTAACAGCCTCTCCCTTTACCCTCACCCAACACCCATGTACACCCATACAGTGCCATCCTAAATCCTTTAATCTACCCATATCCTATTGTTCCAAACCAGCCAATGTTGTGTCTTATCTCCAAGCTTTGACCCCCATTGATTTCTCAATCTCCCTCCCCCATATTCCACGAACCCCTCCCATAATCTTCCGCCTGGTGAACTGCACAGTATCGTCTGAGACTGCCAACATATGCATGTGTACGTCTGTCTGACTTCTGTCTACCTAGGCCAAGCAGAACGTGGATAAGGCCGACATTTGTTGCTTTTCCCTGACTTTGAGTTCTAAGTGTGTCAAAGCACATGTCCTGCTATAAATAGCTTTAACAGGAGATTGACAGATCGGTTGTTGGCCCCCTGAAAAGGGAGAGATGAGTTCAGTGGTTTGTTTAATCTTACACACTTTCATTGAGCATATTGAGAAATAAGGTGGAGCTATGTCGAAAAAATATGAAATCCACTGACTGAATTATTTGACTCACTCAGTAAAGATCTACAGCAATGTCATTTGAAATGTTTAACTACAGTTTTGAAAATTCTTTAGAATGGGGAATGTTGCTTTAATTCTGAAACTTTCCAAACTTTGGGATAAAGGAATCAGTGTTCAGTCCCAGACGACTGGAACCGTTAACCAACCACAGGAGGAGGACATAAATATACCCCTAAGCTGGAACAATATTTATTACAAAAATCATTGTGTGCACTAGACAGTTAAATGTTTGAGCAAACTCTCTTTATAATACAGAGTTGACACTTCATATTTAATGCTGGGTGGTTATATCGCTTGTGATTTTACAGGATGTTGAAGCTGGTGTATAAAGTATATAAATGTGGAGAGAGAGAGAGAGAGAGAGAGAGACTGTGTATTGAAGAAGACAGTTGTCACAGGAGCAGAGACCAGTTATTCTGAACCAACCATCCTGTGTAGATTAACCCCTTTAACCCCTGTGAAACCTGACATTTGATCTTGGGGGGGGGGGGGGGGGGGGGGGACAGATGATCCTGTGGCTATACGTCTGCCCTCCCCCCCCCTACCACCACCCTTCATACCAAGATGCTAGTTCCTACATAAACACTGCTTCACTAAACGTGAGCACGTATGTTGCTAATCAGCCAGACATGTTTAGTGTTTAGTCAAATAGCTTTTCAAACAAATCTAATGTGACTGTCTATCAGTGAAGCCAACATTACTTATCTGCTCCAGTTGGTGTTTGGTGGACTTGTTGAGAGAATCGTTGAGACTCGCCAAGATAGTACTTAGCCCATTCTGGGTCAATAACATCACAACCTAGGCATATTCACACCATCGAGGTCACAAGGAAACTTAATTTTTTTTAAAGCAAAGATAACACCTTTTTTGTCTATTCAGCAAGTTCTGAGGTCAACCTTGCATTTAAAATCATGGTTATTTATTCCAAAGATTTTCTTTTGCGGATGGCTCTGATTTGTTAAAAAAATTCAATTACACATTATAACTTATTATTCCAGAACATCAAAGAGTCCCATGCTGTTTATTGTAACTGGTCTCAGCTGATTTTGTTTAGTGTCTCATTTTCTTAAAATTCATTAAGGAAACACCAAAGCTGGGCTTGAATTAATGGAGGTTGGATGGTGAATCGGAGAAAATGTTAAAACTACTGATTTCGTGACACTACTTCTGATGAATGAAAAAAAAAGAAGTAGTTTGCAGTAACTGTTTGGGAATGTTAAAAAGTAATAAACGTCAGGATGAAGATACAGTGGCCATGTTTCTATGTTTTGTGGGCCCACAAACAAAATCAGTCTTTATAGAGAGAGTTTTATCTTGAAGCAGATTAATGGGAAACACATGAGAGGGAGGAAGGAGGGACCGTGAGGGGAAGGGGTCACTTAATTGTATTAGGCTAGATTGGTTTTCAATTCCCTTCAAGGGACCACTGGGTCGTTTACATGAGAAACTTCACATTCTTTCTAAAGTTTGTGCAAATAAAGCATGCTTCATTTCAACTGATGACGAAATGAATACCGTCATGTGTTTCACTGGGACTGTTTAGAGATTTAAAAAATATTTCTACCATCTACTGACTCCAGAGTGCTGAATGAAGGATGTCTAAGTGACTGTGATATATCTGTATTGAATGCATATTTGTTTTGCATGCTAAATCACCGATAGATGCGGCTGAAGTTGTTTCAAAGTTTTTAGGAAGCAGGGTTCAACATGCCAAGTCTGTTACTCCCAGAGTCCATTGTTTGTTTCCACTCTTTTTTGGACCAAAAAAAATAATTTTTTTGTCAGGGTTCTTGTTTAATTGGTAGGTAGGGAATGTTATAATTGTGAATTTTAGGTTAAACTATTTGGGGAATCTGAAAAAAATAATGTTTAATTTCAATTAAATATTGCTTTTTTTAGATTCCCAAATAGTTCAACCTAAATTCACAATTTTTTAAAATGACTACAATGAAGGAGAAAGAGTATATATGTGGCCATTTTTGTTGCTGACTGGCAGAATGGGGTTAATAAAAAAGTGCAACTTCGAAATTGAAATGACCAGGAATAGAACATATATACTACTCAATCTGAAAGAATTGGGTGGTCTTTTATTTCTTTTGAGTAGTAGAAACAAAATAGGACCGGATAATGTTTGGGTCGGTCGGTTTGGGAACCAAATCAAAATGTCACGTGGCCTGGCCTACAAATCAAAGATGGTGTAGATGAGCTGGGTCAACTCTTTGGGGGAAGATGGGCTGCCGTGTACTAGTAAAAGGTTCAGGCTTATCTCTGAATGAGCTGCCGCTCCAGGAGATCCTTCTGAATTTGGGCGAGATAAGGTCTTATTCTAGAGCTCTGAAACTAGGTCATCAGTTCCACCCAGTGGCACCAGGAGGATACACAGGTTGCTTTGTTTGAAGTTTGCTACAAGCACTAGATACCATCACACCCTAGAGAAGGTTCATCTGTGTGATGTTGATCCCGAGATGTACAGTGACAAATCATCCCATACCCTTAAAACATTACAGTGAATAGCTCTGTAATGTCCTTTTTAACCCAGTTAACGAACAAGTTTCTTGTGGTGACCTCTGCCGAATACTCAATGTCTGTGGTAATGTTTTTACCGGGTTTATGGTCTTGGAAACCACCTGATTTATTTCATTGAGGAAATCTGAGCTGGGCATCCTATCCAAGAGTAACACCAGATGACCCGTGTATAGTGTCTCTCAGAATCTAGACTAACATCTAGTCTCTGAAATGAACCTATGGTACGGATAAAAAACAGTTGTTAAAATACACTTATGAAATGAAATATAAAGGAGCCTAGAGATTCTTTTCATTCACTGCAGTAATCTAGACTTGCTAAATATTATAGACTTGCATGGGCTGTATTGAATATATTTGTTTCAGGGTCTGTATGACAGACTAAAAATCTACAAGCTTTGTTTGGTAATGTGACCTACTGAGAGATAAAGACAACTTTATTATTTCATGCTAAAATAGATATATCATAATCAGTGTTTAAAATTATGGGGGATCCTGGTTTGCTTCTATGGTATTTGAATGTAGGGATCACTAAATGTTTTAGCATTAGGGCAAAGACAAGGGCACTCTGAGTTTTGTGTATTATTTCTAACCTAGTACATATATACTGTACATACCTGCCATGGTAGGTGTGACTTGTGCTGTTTGTACATTTTGAGATAGACGTGTGGCAAGGGGTTAAAGAAGAGATGTGGAGTACTTGTAATAATTTCTCTCAAAGCTTCACAAGTAGGAACAAGTCGCTTGTAAGAGCCTTCAAGTGGAGTGTTTTATAAATACAGACAGGTGGTCAGACGGACAATAATTTATTTACAGGTTTCAAACCATACAATAGAACCATACAATTCTCATATACATGACGTTTATTTCAACCATCTTAATTAAAAGCATTGCATTCAAGTAGAAACATCAACTACAGTGTTAATTCGAGTTTTTTTTGTAAAGACAGGCTGTCAGACGGATAATCTTTTATTTACAGGTTTCAAAGCACAACAATAGAACCACACAATTCTCCCGTTCATGACTCTAATTTCAACCATCTTAA